AAAGTTATTTTCTTTTGTTGATGTTCCACGTCTCTACTAGAAATATCCTTCTTTAAAAACCTATTTTTAAAAAAGGACATTTTTATCTGAGATATTTGATTTGCATTTTTTCCAGAGTGAATATTTTTGTTTCCTAAATCTCATGGTCTCATTGTGCACAATGCCTGACTGTGATTCTATTTGACTAAATGTCACCTACTACATATAGCGTGAGCATTCTGCCCGCTTCTCCAGCACCTAATAGAAGGTTTAGCACACTCTATTCTTTTGAAACCATATGGTTCCAGGTCTACCTGTTAACCTTGATTTCCAACTTTTCATGTGAATAAATGATTATCATGTGATAATTGAAAACATGTTAGAAGCATAAATAAGAAAATATTAAAAAACATACATGCAAACCAACAAAAAAGGCTGGGAGAAAAGAAATATCTGGGTAATTCAAGCAGCTGTGACAAGCAAGATTTTGCTGTTTTGTTTTTACTTTTTCTTTTTTAAAGTCCTTAAATGAGAAGCTCTCTCCACATTGTTTCATGCTGAGTTCTTCAACTCCAGGTGTGCCTGAAGCAGAGTTCTTGCCCGTTTGGAACTTGTAGCCATATGCTTACAACAACGTAGCTCAGTAGGAAAAAATGTGACGGATGCTGAATCTTAATCACTCATATATCTGAAACAGACGTTAGCGAGCACATAAATTACCTAGCTGGTGGTCATTTCCTTTTCTTGCCTCCTCTACAGTGAACAGTTGGCCTTCTGACATGGTTCAGTTTCCATTTCTGGTGGGCCAGAAGGAGCATTACGATATGCCCTACTCAGCAAGTAAGCCTTTAGAGTGCATTCTAAACTAAAAGTGGTCACTCCCAGATTATTGCCTGAGTTACTTGGGTTCTTATTTTCCATTTATACCACTCATCTGCCAAAATGATAAAGTATAATAAAGTGTAGTAAAACTGTATGGATTCCTTTTGGAGTCAGGCACTTGCGTCTTGGTTTCTTTAGCTCTAAATGAGGCCTCCTTTGTGTGAAACAACTTAAAGTAACAGCAGCACCCATACAAACTAAGGTGTTTCTACCACTGAGTTATTGAGGTACTCAAAGCCTTTCTGCTATAAACACCAAATTTTTTTTTTCAAATTTAGGATAGTGCTCTTTCTCTACCACTGTATGAAGCATGTTGAGCATAATTACATGTTTTCTTGATGACCTAAGAACCTCGTTACATACCAGCCATAATAGCATGCTACAGTTTTGTGATGTCAGAGCTCCTTTGCTGCATAGCAGAGGTCCTTAGAACTTGAGTCCAAATACTTTAACCTATTATTTTTATTACTTCTATGGACTTTGAAGCTGTCAGCTCTCATGTCTCTATCAGTTACCTTCCGTAGGCAGTCCTCCTCACCTTCCTTGTTGCTTCTGTTTTGTAAACTTTGTGTTCAGATAACCAAGCAAGTTGGCACTGTAAGTAAAGTAAGAATACATGTGTATTGAAGGAAAGACTAAGAACATTTCCTGTATAAAGTACTGATGTTTTAGCTCATAAACTTTTGGTAGGTTGCATCCTTTTATTTTGTCCTTAGTCTTCTCAGCTGCATTCTCAGAACGCAGATACGTAGATTCCAGGTAGATGAGGTGGTGTCTGCGTATTTAATGGCAATACAGAATGTAGAGGTTAAGAAGATGGTCTCTGAAGTCAACAGATCTGGATTTGAATCCCGTTGTGTCACTTAGCTAGCTTTGTTACCTTGTTCAATCTACATAATCTCTCTCAACTTCAGTCTCCTCCTCTGTAGGTTGGAGAGAGTAACACTACTGCTGTCAGAGGATTGTTGTGATTTTAAATGAAATAATGCATGCCGAGTACTTAGCATAATGCTTACCACACAATCAAATGGTATTGTAATAGTTATTATTTTGCCCCTTCTTGAGGCCACTGTATTCCTAGCATTAGTTTACACTGTGGTAACCTTGTTTGTATTGTTTCTAGTCCAAGCAAATGGCACATGAAGACGGGGCGAAGAGCAGAGTCCTAAACTGCTGGGTCAAAATTTTAAGAGGCATAATGCATAAATATCAAGACAGATTAAGCATTCAATTTTATTTTTTACATTAAAATGACTACCTTAGACATACATGTTTGGGACTCAGTAATTTATTTATCAAGTTTCATGCATTGGGTAAAGAAAATTAATGACCATATTAGTATGAGACAACACTGCCTTGATACAACTGGGAAAAGCATTTTTTGCTTTTATCTACTTTTTTTAAAGGCAGGAAACTTAGAAGAGGCTTCTACTGAAAATCTTAGTTCACCTTCATAATTCAGACAGTAGACAAATATGTCATGGTTTATGAGACTAACAACCCCTTTTTTTTACCCTTTGTTTTTATAGTGAGATATTTATGTAACATTTGTTGGCAGCTGTTAAGCCAGGTAGAAATACACTGTAGAATGTGGACATTAGTTTTAAATACTTAGTAATTTGTTAGAGTTGGAAACAGCAGCACAAAAGACGCAGGTGGTAACTTCTAATGGTAGGTAAGAAAATACATAATTAGAGTTCTAGTACCACCTGATCTGTCAATAGCAACTTTCCAGAATTTTTCATTATCGTCACCTGCTTTTATTAATATTTTCACCTGTTGCCTCAGTAATAAGGAAATACTATCTAAAAAACTGGAATGACTGGGCTATGATTAAGCTTTTAAGCCATTTATACCCAAATCTCATTTAAACCTCCTAGTCCCATAGATGTGGATATATATGATAGTTTGCAGTGAGGTCAAAACCCTTTGCATCTGTGGAATTAAAATATTTTTCTCCAGAGTTCTTACATTTGCATTGTGCTTTTTAATTTACTGAAGATTTTTGTGTTTGTTATCTTATTTGACCTCATTAATGAGAATTAATCCAAACTATGAAGTTAGTGGGGCAGATTTTCTTTCCATTTTACTCACTCTTAAAGACTGTATCCAAAGCCAAAGGAAAGTGAAGATTAATAATAAAATACATTACTAGAAATAAAAATTACTTCACAATGATAAAATGTTCAGTTTGCCAGAAATATAGTCTAATTCTAAAATCATATACACTTAATACCCAGCCTCAAATATATAAAGCAAAAAATTGACAGCTTGCAAGAAGTATTGAAGAAAACACTATTACAGTAGCAGATTTTACCATACTACTATTGGTAATTAATAAACTTAGGAGACAAAAAAACTAGTAAGGATATAGACTTTAAAGTATAATGATTACAATTGGAGATATATATATATATAACATATAGAAATTCATGAACATTAGTTTGTGTTAGTCCATAACGTAGCTTCAAGAAGTTTTACAAGACATAAGTGCAGTGATGTAGACCATATTCTCTGAACATAATAAAACTGAGTTAGAGTTAAATCATAAGTGATAGTGAGAATGCTTGGAAATTAGAAAAACACTTCTAAATAACAAAGGTCAGATGAAATCATAATGGAAATTAGTACATAGAAATGAACAATTGTGAAAATTCTATATACCACAACTCATGGAACATAACTAAACTGACAGAGGGAATTTTATAGCTTTATTTCCTTAAATTATACGGGAAAAAAGACTGAAGATTAGTTAAGAAGCACCCAACTGAAGTAGTTAAAAAAAAAGTTGAATGAATCCAAAGAAAGTGTAAACAAAGATATGTATCATAAAGAGCAGAAATTACTGAAAATAGGAAAAAATATAAGAATTTTAAAAGCCAAAGTTAGTTGTTTGAAAAAATTTAACAACTATGTGACAAAATTAATCAGAGGGAAAAAGAGAATAAACAATTATATAGGGTTACAGATGAAAAGAGCATACAACTATAGGCATGGTAGCAATTAAAAAGAGAATAGTATGAATAACTATGACAATATAATTTTAAGTTTAGGCCAAATAGACAATTGCCTAGGGAAAAAATCCAGCTTACCAAACTTTCAGAGAAAGACTAGTTTTAAACCCATTAAAGAAACTTAAAAATTTTCAATTCTTCTTCAAGGAAAGTACTAAGCATTTCATGTTGGATAGCTTTGCATTGTGCCAACTTGGTAAACTGGAACTGTTCCCCAGAATTTCATCCTTTATTGTTTTGGTGATAACAGTTAATCATCAAGGTTAGATGCAGTGAAAGACAGATGTACAGGTACTGGCTAGTCCTTACTCTTCCCTATGGTGGTTGCCAGGTTGCAGATTGTACTCCTTCTCCTTTACCTGGTGTTCATCTGTTTTTCCTGATTGACCAGTGATCCCAGACCCCCCATTAGACACAGATGCAGAAGTCTTCCATTGACCTCCCCACCAGCTCTGCTGCAGCTACCATGAAAGGTGAGAGTGCCTGGCTTTGCAGATTTCTCTGCAAACTACCTCATTCATGAATTCCATTGCATCAAGATTGCTGATCAGTGACTTTTCTCTGATCCTCCAAATCCCCTCACTGGACCTTACTATCTTAGTTCCCCCTGAAAGTATGTAAGATCTAATTTCTATAATAAATTATTTATTCCATAATACTTTATTTCCATAAGAAAGTAGTTTGCTTTCTTGATTTAATCTTAACTGATTTAACAGGAAGATTCAACCAAATATTCAATATACAGCTAATTCTTGTATTACACAAATTCTTCCATAGAATAAAAAAAAAGGAAAATGAGAAGATATACAGATGGCAAATAAGCATCTAAAAATATGCTCCACGTCATCTTTAATTTGCATTTTAAAACAATGAGATGCTGCTACACACCTATTAGAATGGCCAAAATCTGAAACACTGACAACACCAAATGCTAACAAGGATTTGAAACAGGAACTCTAATTCATTGCTGGTGGAAATGCAAAATGATACAGCCACTTTGGAAGACAGTTTGGTGACTTCTTATAAAACTAAACCATTTGATCCAGCAATCAACCTTATGGTATTTACTCAAAGGAGTTGAAAATTTATGTCCACACAAAAACTCACACATAGGTGTTTATAGCAGCTTTATTCAATATTGCCAAAACTTGGAAGCATCCAAGATGTCCTTCAGTGGGTGAATGGATAAATAAACTGATAATCCAGATAATGGAATACTGTTTAGCACTAAAAAGAAATGAGCTATCAAAGCTACGAAAAGATGTGGAGAGACCTTAAATTCATATTCGTAAGTGAAAGAAGCCAACCTGAAAAGGCTACGTGTATGGTTCTAACTATGACATTCTGGAAAAGGCAAAGCTTCGGAGACAATAAAAAGATCAGTGGTTGCCAGCGGTTAAGGGGGAGGCATGAATAGGTGGAACACAGAGGGTTTTTTAGAAAAGTTAAAATACTCTGTATGAATACTATAAATGTATATATGTCATAAATTTTTTCCAAACTCAGAGAATGTACAACACCAAGACTTTGATAAGGAAAACTGGACTTTGGGTGATTATGATGTGTCATGTAACTTCATTAATTGTAACAAATGCACCATTCTGATGGGGGAATGTCAATAATGGGGGAGGCTATGCCTGTGTAGGTTCAAGAGGTATATGGGACATCTTTGTACCTTCCTTTCAACTTTGCTGTGAACCTAAAACTACTCTAAAAATACAGTCTTTTTTGTTTAAAGGAAAACGGTCCCTACCTCATCTTATGGGGTTAATATAACCTTTATTTCTAAAGTAAATAAAAGCTAGTAAAGCTTGTGCTAGTAGAATCTAGCACAATAAAGAATAATTATAGGCCAAATTCAATTATGAGTATAGATAGAAAACATCCAAACAAAATATTAACAAATGAATTTAGCAATATATTTATCATGACCAAGTGACAATTATAACTGAAATTTTGTTTAAATATTTAAACCAATTTGTATAAAAGTAACAAATCAAAAGAGAAAAACACTTTAATAAATGCAGAAATGTTTTTGATAAAATTCAAGATCCATTCATGACAAAATCTTAGCAAAATACAAAGAAAAGTTAAATTCCTTAATTTGATGAAGAAAAATCTACCAAAATCCCATAGCAAACATTATATTTAATGGTGAAATGTTGAAGATCAGAGTCAGGAAAATGATGCCTAGCATCACTTCCATTCAACATTTAGCTAGATGTTGTAGACAGTAATTTGACAACACAGTAATATTCTCAAAACAGTAAGATGTAAAAAAAAAGTAAGGTTTGAAAATAAGGAACTTACACACTCATTATTTTGAGATGATACACTGTTCAAAGAGGACACAAAAATATCTACATTTAAGTTGCAAGAAGTGATACAAAATCATTATACCTCAGTAACACTAACTAGAAAATATAGTTAAAATATATATTACTTACAATAGTATAAATATGAAGTAACCATGAATAAATCTAACAGGGTCCAGGCCTATTTTGGAGAAAATTAAAAACTTGATTAAAAGACATGAAAGATGTATACTAAAAGTAAACCATGTTCATGGATAGGAAATCTTAGTATATCTCCTCAAACAGATATTTAGACTCAAAAAATGTTAATAAAAATCTCCTGTTTTTAAAATAAAACTTGACAAACTGATTTTAAAATTTAAATGGAAAGGTCTAGTTATAAAAGTCATTGACAAATAATTCTGAAATGTAGTTTTCTTTGGCACTAGGAGAGGATGCCTGCAGTGATGAGTGTCCAGGGCTTCTGAGGTCCTGGTTATGTTCTAGCTGTAAGTCTCAGTGGTAGGTACATAGGTATTTCTATTACTATTATTACTCTGTAAACTACCCATATGTCATACAAAAAATGTGGAAAAAATGTATATTTCACAGTTACAAAAAAAAAAAGGGGGGTGAAAAGAACAAAAAGAAATTGTCTGTAAATTCTACTGAGCACTTGATGGATTTCAAAGCATAATTATTGACATTCCTTGCATTTGTCTGGGTTGGGTTTTCTGAACTCTGGATCCCTGAAGCCATGAAGCATGTATGCCAAATTAACAGGTTTCTGAGCTGGGAATTTTCCTCCACAGTTGGAAGAGCCTGAAGAGAGGCAGAGAATGCTGTTTATCACACACTTTGAACACTTTGGGCAAGTAGAGGGATACAAAAGAGGAATGAGATAATGGAGGTTATGAGGAAGGACAGGCTGTGTTCAACCTAGGAGGCACTATATAGAGAAGTTTAAAAAATTGGCATTTGGAGTCTCATAAGAAATTACCTGGTTGGGGATGGTAAAAAAAAAATGATGTTCATAATTATAATGAGAAGGGATATTCAAGTTCTGGTGATTTGATTTGCTTCATTCTTCTATTAACAAATCTGACTTTCAGCAATTCATTGTCTAGGTTTTCCCCTTAACTTTCAGTTTTAAATTCTGCTTTTCGTATCCTTGTAAAACTCTCTATAAAACTGCTAAATTATTCAACAGATTTATACAGCCACGCATATGCTTGCCCAGAGCTGGAAAAGATAATGAAACTATACTTTCTGCATTCATGAGATAATTGATAGGGATAATTTTTTAAGCAATTAAAATAGAGAGGAAATCAAGATCACAAATTCAAGAAAGCAGAAGCTTCAAAGTCCTCTGCCTCTAAAAACTTCTTAACCCTCTGCCATATTAGAACTCTTGGAACCAGTTGTTGTTCTTTTTTCATTCCAAACTCAGATTTCTTTCAGTTTGTCTCTTGGACACCAAATGACTTTTTATTCTCACAATTGTTAACATTTTCTTATTCAAAAACTGTTATAAAACTCAGAAGAGTTCTCAGATAGTAAGGCAAATAGAAAAATCTGGACTCAGTGATCACTGAGATTCCTAAGTCAGTCACTGTATCTACTCATGAATAGAAGAGGGAAAGGAGCCTTTATAATCCTACCCCTGCAACTGGACCATTTTAGAGATACAATATATCCTAAAAGTCATCAAGTTCCATGCTCAAAGTAGAATTTTCTCTCCCAAGTCTGAAGAGGGCCCTTTGGCTTCAGCTTTCAACTTAAGACTTGTGTCACAGAGAGCTTGGTACTTCAAAAGACAGCTTGTTATGCCATTGGAGCTGTAAGAAAATTCTTCCTTATAGAGAGGCGTAACAGCTATCCAGCAGGCTGACTCTGACATCAAGTCAGAGAAAGACCAATTCTTCATTTAATCCTTAAAATAATTGGAAAATTTTGTCTCCTTTTTCAAGTCATGTCCCCTGAGAAGTCAAATAGCCCTGCTTTTGTTGCAATTATATTTTCAGACCTTTCAGATGTAGTTCAGACTATGCCTCTCTTTGGAGATCTAACTCCAGGGTGTCAGTGTCCTTTCTGAAGTGAGATGTCCAAACTGAGCACCATACTGCAGATGTAGCCCAGATCTTGTGGAGAACTAAGTTAGTTATTTCCCCTTTTGCACTAAGCTTCTGAAATCTTGTTAGTTCTGATAGAAACTACATCACACAGGAAGCTCATATAGAAATAATCAGGGATTAAAATCAGACCGCCACTGGAGCTGCTTGCCCTGATAAAGTCACCACAGGTCATAGGACATACATCCAAGATGTGAAGTGAAAGATCCCTGGGTCCGAGGATTGGGCAGGAATATCAGGAGTTGGGACAATTCTCTCAATCCCTTGCCCCAGGGCCTCTTGTCACTGCTTCTCTTGGCAGATCTGCTCTGCTCTCTTCTGACAACATGCCCTCTTCCAGTCCTTTATGTTTCCGTATAACTTTGGCTTGCCTATGCTCCAGCATGCCATGAAACCAACCTAGCCCAAATTCTACAAACCTTTTATTGAAGTTTCCCCTCCCGAGCATCCAGCTCTGTATCTCTCAAACTTTCGTGTATGTCCACAAAATCACATAGAGATGTCAAAAATGCAAAGGATGATTCAGTTAAGTCTAAGGGAAGGAGTGTATATTTTAGACAAATTCTCAGCTGACGTGGATGCTGCTAGGCCACATATCACACTTTGAGCAGCAAATAAATCAGGATGCAGCTGATCCAGTTTCCCAATTCCCAACCCCTGGTGGAAGGAATCTGATTATCTTGGTTTAATTTTGGTTTGTTCACCCCGGTCACCCTGCTCCAATTAGCCACTGACAGGAGAATTATATGGATAAAATACTAACACGGCCACCTTGGTCAGCCCTTTCAGCAGGACCAATGGGTAGACTGAGTAGTTAAAAAATGCTAAAATGCATCTAGGCAGGGGTCAATTAATACCCCAGATAATTTTTATACGAATGGTTCACTAAGCTAAGTTTTGATTTTGTCCTTGTACAACTTTTCCAATGGGAAAGACTGTCATTTTCCACCATAACTGGCATGGTTCTGATTTTCTTTAAATCCTGTCCGCACAGTTAAGATAAATTTGTTTCTGATGTTTGAGGTTTATGCCTGTCAAAATATTCCAGAGAAGAAATGAAATTATGAATTATCTTCTTAAAATAGGTTTTCATACTTTAGATTCTATTCTTCTGTCATTATAGTGAGGTTTTTGAAGAAAAGAGTTTCTCTCAGGCAGATATCCTAAAGGAACCCTTTATATTGCATTCTTCATCTTTGTTCCAGGCCCTGCACTCAGTGCAGTTATAACAGTCAAATGTCCCTTTTCAATATCTTCTCCAGGTGGGCCCCTATGGCCCTTCCAGGGATCTGTGAGTGCAGTTCCCAAACTGTGTGAATGATGTCTAGAGGGAAACATTGTAGTTCAAAACCAGGACCTGTACCCTACACCCCCTGCTCACATGACATGCAGGACGCTGACTTCCCCACTACATTAAGGCTACTGGGAACAATGCCAGCATTCTACTTTCACTCCTGAATGATGCTTACTCCTTGCTGGTGATCCTGCAGTGCTTCCCCATTCCGATTGGCTCCAATGTTTCTTTAGTTTCAAGTACATAGGTAGTTTTTGGAGATAGAAGTCCTTGAGTGAGTGTGCAGTGGAGAGGGGGTGATGGGGATCAATGAGTCAGGATAATGAGAAGGTTCTCTGGCATGAGACTAGAGAGGGTAAGGAAGTGATTCTAGCTCAGGGAGCCTAGGAAGGAACCCTAAAGCAGTTCATTTCAAGCCTGGATTGTCAAAGTTGGTCCTATTGTTCAATTACTTTTTAAAAACTAGTCCTAGAAAACCATGTGATCTGTTCGAGGTTTGCAAGAGGTCTTCCATTATTCAGAGAATTGATATGTTAATTTAATCAGAATCTTGGCTTCCTTTCCATCTCTTCATTTTGTCAATTAAGAGGCATAGCCTCAGTAGATGGATTCATTTTGTATGCAAAGAAAATCAAAGTGCTCTGAGAGATATGTTGGGCCAAAAACACACTCACCTGGAACCATAGTAGAGATCAATTTCAAGCCCATGAAAAATATATGTCTTTGTGTGAGGCTGTTGGCATCTGTATCACTGCATTATGCGTAATCTCTACCATGTTCATGGTGCATCTGTTCATCACACTGTTTAAACAAGTTTTCCATTTTTGCCAAATGGTAGGTATCAAGACTGAATCCATAGTTTCCTCACTCTGGTTCTCTTGGCAGGAGCTTCTCTTGTCCTTTTTCTTAGCTATCTGTAGTCTATCTTTGGTTATAGTCATAGAAGTTTGACCTCTTCCCTTAGGAGGCAGTATTGAAGGCTTATAGTCTTAATATTTGCTCAATAATTTTTTTTGCATCACTGTCATTTTTTAAAAATTTCAAATAAACTTGTTACCATTACTTAGCCTAAATGTAGACCCCATCTAGGTAGTTAATAAGTATAACTTTCATGTAGATATTTTAATAAGAAAAAACATAGATCTGAATTCCTACCTTCTGTTTGCTTATACACATATACACAGATATGAAGCAAATAGCAATGTGGGTTTCTTTTTTCCTAAAAGCAATTAATTTATTATTAATTTTAATGCTAGATTATACAAAATGGAAGCTTGCATTTGAATGACAATTCCAAAACTGAGTCTTTATAATTGCCTAATTAGAGTAATTTCTGCATTTTACAGGCATTGAATTTTTGGATACAAAAAGCAAGTAGAAAGCCCATGTGCCATTTTTTTTTTCCTCCACAAATTTAATCTATGCTAGTAGCTATTTAAACTCTTTCAGACTGCTGAATAGGTGTCTTTAGTGCTTTTCTTTTCTTGATCAAGATAGTAATTGTCACGTCTTAAAGCCTCATCATTTTGTTTATTCTGCCTATGTTCCAAATCTCCTGTTCTAACTTGTTTGGTATTGCTTGTTCTGCTGTTCCAGCTTTCTCAGTTTCTTTTGAGTAAGGACAATCATTTAAACCTTGTGAATGACAGTCACTAATTTGTCACACAAAAATATTTTAGTCCAAATCACTATTGATATAGGTTGTTACTGGATTCAAATATTTGATAACTGCATATTACAGCTTAAAGTTCCCTGCTGAGTTTTAACAGTAACTCAGGCAAACACTTCTGAAACTTACCAAGTTCCATTATGGTCAGCTTTGATTTTTTTTCCATCATGTTCTTAAATTAGAGACATATTTGAGCAACGACCAAAACTTCCAAAAGCCAAATACCTCTCTTTTCCTAAACTATGACTTTTCTGACGGAGAATAGAGCTCATTTACAAATTTTAGTCAGTTGTGCCTTTGTTTCAGAAAAGCTTGGAATTGAAACAAATTGGGGGAAATGTGTAATTTTTGACATGAAAAGTGGAGGGATGGATATGAACCTAAACCATAAATTTTCCCCACAGCTTTAAAGGCTTAAACAGAGCTGGAAAAATGTTCTTTTGCAAAGCTAGATGTCAAGAAAAGCAAGTTTCTGCTGCAGCAGTGTTGCAGGCTGTGAACAAGGACTACTAGAGGGAGGAGAAGTCCTTTCAAGTGGCAGCTATGTGGACAGTTTATTTGAATGGTTGGGTGTTTACTTTTCATCCAACATTTAATTATGGAAGTTTTCCCAATGCAGTCAATTGGAAAGACTTTTACAGTGAACACCCGTAAACCTACCCCCTAAATTCTCCATTAACATTTTACTGTACTTTATCACATATCTAACCCTCTGTCCAGCCCTTGGTGCAGCCATCAATTCATCTTACCTTCAATGCATTTCATCATCTTATTTTTAATGTATTGCAGATACCAGCATATTTCCCTTAAAACTCTTCTGTATGCAGGTTATTAATGAAAATTAAATATTTGTTTATAGTTATTTTTCTGTGTAAAATTGACTGAGTTTAACCAAATGAATACATACACCTGTGTAACCCAAACTCCTGTAAAAATATTGATCATTAGTATTACCCCAGAAAGCTCCCATATGCCTGTTCATCCTTACTTTCTGTCCTCGTCTCATCCCCAAGACACCACTGTTCTGATTTTTTTCACCATAGATAAGTTTAATTGTTCTAGAACCTCAATTAATGGAATCACATGGTGTGCACTCTTTTGTGTAAGACTTCTTTCACTCAGCCTAATTTTTCTTCATTTCTGTTGTTCTGTATACATTGATAGTTTATTCCTTTATGTTGCTGAATAATAGTCATTATGTGAATAGATCACAGTTTGTTTATCCATTCTCTTCTTGTCTATTTTCAGTTTTTAGCCATTATGAATAAAGCCTCTATGAATATTCTTATGAAAGTCTTTTTTGTGTAAAAGATACTTTCATTTCTCTCAGGTAGGATTCTGTCGGGTCATAGGATAGGTGTATTTTTTAGGTTTATAAAAAACATTTTTTTTTCTAAAGTGGTTGTACGATTTTATATTTCCACCAATAATGCAATGAGTGGTTTGGTTGTCCTGCTGTCAGTCTTTTTAATTTTACCCTTTCTGTTGATATGAGTGGTATCTCATTGTAATTTTAATTTGATTTCCCAGGTGTTTATTTTTTATGTTTTAAGGAAAGGACAATTATGACATCAAGTCCATGATTGCAGGTATTCCAGGCTGGAGTCAGGGCCAAATAAAAAGCGAGTCAACTTAAGATCGAGTTAAATAAAAATATCAAGTAAATAATAATTGAGGTGGTATATGGATATAGAAAATCTGTGAAGTGATTCGTGAATAAATTTGAGAAATACTGTTATAGAGGAGGTCCTTTTTTCAGATGTCCTGTATTTCCATGGGGTTTTTTTTTTTTGGTATCAAGTCAAAAAATCAACATGTAAAAATCTTAAAGAAATCCTAATGACCATTACCCACTACAGAGTCACTGAACTCTGAGATCAGAATTCTGTATGAACTTGGGGTGAAAAAGATACCAGGCATCACCCCTGCTTTTGAAACCATGCTTGAAACAGTCTAATTGTATAAAATGGCAACAAAGAAAACTGTATTACAAAGGCAAAACAGCAAGGTGAATATTAGCACCCATTGGAGCCAGCCTGCTGAATTTGCCCCTCAGTTCCCCCACTTACTATCTGTGTAAACTTGGCAAATTATTTACTTCTCTGCGTTTCAGTTTCCTCATCTATAAAATGTGGGTAAGAACAGCAACAACTTCACATGAGGCTGTCAGGAATGTATGAGCAAAACCATGTAAACAGCACACAGTATCATATAAGGGGGAGCTACTGTTACTACTGTTGAAGGAGAACCAGTCAGCCTGATAAAGGGGAAGATTCCTGTAGGCCCATGAATTCAAATGAGGAGTGAGGCAGGTGAGTAAATACCTCCAGAAAGCAGAAGGATCTGTGCCTTCCGGAATGGGCACGGCCTTGTTGTCAGCCTGGGGCTCCTTTCTCCTTCTTCTGGAAGAGCAACTTGCTCTTCCTTTGGGCAACAGCCTTTCCCAGTTCTCACCGTAGGGGAGGCTGAGCCCATTTCTTGGCCATGTGATCCAGGCCTGGCCAAGCAGCATTTCTATCCCCATTTACAAGGGCCAGTCCAGAGATGGGCCCTTGATCTCCATCAGAATAATAATACAGAATAATAATACTGGGCTTTCTGCTGGGACTCTGAGAAAGAGTTACTCTTATTTCTTTTTGCTAGAGATGCTAAGCTCATAAGACATAATGATGGTGCAACTGAGTGTCATTGTGCCACTCCTTGGGGATAGCCTGCCAGAATGGAATCCCACAGAGAAATGCAGCACTTAGGGAGTAAAAGTGAGAGAGGGAGAGGGAGGAAGAGGAAGGGAGAGAGAGAGGGGAGGGAGAGAAAGCGGAGGTGGGGGTGGTGTGGTGGCGGTGGGGTGTGGATCACTGACATCATTTTAGCAACTAGCTCCAGCTATATTGATCTGACCTTGCCAGCTATGGACATCAGTATCTTTTTTAACCTGGGCCATCTTGAGTTTAGTTTCTGTTATTTGTAAATGAGAATCCTGATGAATACATCTTTTATAATCAGGGGCACATTTTTGCAAGATAATTTCCTTGAGTTAAAGGGGCTTTGCCATGTTTATGTAAATATCTTTCGCTGCTGAAACTTCCGCAGGTGTTTTGCATAAATTATGAGGAGACACTGGCAGAGCCAGGTTTATGAAATCCCCCAGCAGATAAGGAGACAGGTGTGAAGAGAAATGGTGCCAATCAGTTTACTGTGGAGCAGCCATGAGATCCCAGCGTAATCTGGATTCCACGGGCTGCGTGAGAGGGAGTGCAGCGGGATGGGGGTGGGGGAGGGTAGGATTCTTGGGCAAATCTCTGCTCTGTAGATTTTACCCTGGCCCTGCCAATTGGATGGGGAGATAAGAGATCTTCTGTTTTACTTTCCTTCACTTTTTCTCAGTCTGCCTCTCTCAATAGTTACTAGAGAGATACTAGACCTCCAGTCCTCATCACTTTTTGATAACATTCTGTTAACAATACTCCCTGATCTTCCTGGTGGAAGACTCATAAAAACATGATGTAATCGTCTGATTTCGATTGGCCCAGCAGTCTGGAAAAAGGTGCCATTCAGTCATCTCCTGCACTGGCACTAAGCCTAAGATGAGCACATTTATATTTAGTGACTTTCTCATCACAGTATTGACAAATATGGCTTCTCATTGCAAAGCTGGATGCTTGCACTTATTCTTGTTAACATCTCATGTGCTTCAAAGAGTAATTACAGATAATGAGAAGATTTAGGTTCCAAGCATTGTGCATATTGTTGAGTGACGAATGGAGGGTGCTTGAAAGGTGTCACAGAGGTTAATCACCTAGGGCTGAAACTGCCAGCTGGTGCACAGCTGAAGGAGATGTGGTGTGAGCTCTTGCATGGTCCATGCCTTCGCCACTCCACACAGGCCTCAATTATGGAACCCCCAATCACTCAGGAAAATGAAGAGGTGGTGCTTAAAGAAGTGGGTTCAGCAGAGGGGGGTGGGGGAGGGGCAAGCGCCAGTAAAAGTAACCTGGGATGATCGGCAAGAGTTTTCTGGCTTGGGCCCATTCTCTCTTCATTTATCATTTATTTTTATGTTTAATTAAAAAAATATACAGACTCTGCTTAGTTGCAGGGCTGGCACAGAGAGCTGGGTATAAAATGAGGGTGCCCTCAGAGCATACAGTCCAACTGGGAACTAGAATGGTGATGATACCCAGTTACAGTGTGAGATGCTGGAATCTAATTTCCTCTGCAAGGGTCTAGACAGACGTCCCTGAAGACCCGACACTGAAGCCGAGACAGGAAGGAGGAGAGGGAAGAGTTAATCAGGAGGAGGCGAGCAGGAGAAAGACCCCTCTGACCACAAAAGCAGGTGAACGAACTGTTGGCCCTGGGATGAGGAGCAGCTGGTTCCCTGGAAGAACTGAAAACATACCAGAAAGGTTGGAGGAGAGTGAATACGGCAGACGTAGCCGGAGCTGTGGGCTGGAGCTGGACAGGTACGACTTTCTCGGTCATGTGTTGGAGGCTGGACTTTAAAAGCTGGCAGTGTCACAACACTGACAGGTTTCATGGAAAATTGTAAATATTCTTGTGATTAGCATTTACCTAGTGCTAGATACACAGGAGATTCTTTTTGTTTTATGCTCTAGTTTTAATCACTGTAAGTAAAAGTGAGGCAGAGGAATTTATCAGAGGCAAAAGAATGAATAAGTAGGCTGATAAAGGACAGAGAGCTTAAAAGAAAGGAGTTGGGAATTTCCTTTGTTCCATTATATCATTTTAGAAGTATTTTTTTCCCCTCCTATTTGCATGTTTTGGAAAATAACAAACAAAAGCTGTCAAACCATTTTGTGAATTAGTTGTCTTTCCAAACTTTGTTGAAATATTAAGGCTATAACTGATTGTGAGATTTAAGTCTATTCTAGAATAGGCTGATATTTATAAGGTTAGTAACTGGAAGAACAATGTGGTGATTCAAAGCATGAGCTCTGGGCTCAGGTGAATCAAGTTCAAGTGCAGCTTTTTCAGTCGCTAGATGGGTGACATTGACTCTATTGTTTAACTTTTATTTCCTCTTACCTGTAAAACAGAGATGATAATATTCACTATTTTAAAGAGTTGTGAGGACTATGAAATAATGCATTTAAGTATCTGGTAAATAGCATATGATCAATCAGTCATTAATTAACAAAAATTTTAGTGGAAAATTATCTTTTCCCACTAAAATAGATTGTGTAAAATTTCATGTTTATTGGCTATATATAACATTTTATGAATACACATGTGACAAATATTGGAAAACTAATTTCACACACAAACAAGTAGGTAATACATAGAACTTGTGGAAGGTGATCTGAAGGATTGGAAATTTGGATAAGAATAAATAAACAAGGAAGTAATTAAAATTAAACTGTGATAGAATTTAAATACAAAAAGACAGTCAAGTTTAAATGGGTACATGAACAGAAATGTGAAAAGAAAAGGCAGAGTCTTTTCAGAAGGTTCAAAAAGCAATAGAGAGAATTTCAATGGATGCTTGAAAGCAAAGGGGCAGAGAGAAGAGCAGGACAGCTGACAAGACTCTTCAAGGGCCAGGGAAGTCAGGGGAATATAGAAAGCCACCGCATATGACGACTGGGGAGTTGTGCATAAAAACATTGAAATTAAAAACCGTGTATATAAGAAAAATCATGCTGACCCAACAGTTTGCCACTCCAGGAATAAAGTGATAAACTCCTCAAATGAACAGAAAATAGCAGTGGAAACGCTGAGCAAGTCCTTTCTGTGATGTACTTCAGGTTCCGCACCCTTCTGTCTCCTGACCCACCCCCAACATCCACCTGGCTCCTATTAAGCCTTGTTAGCCTGGTCCTCTGGTGCTTGGGAAGATCTCCCTTTACCCTGGCACAGCCAGCAGTTTCCCAGTTGGGTTATGCTGAGTTTGGACCCTAATTCTGGGTGTGATGGCCAGGAGGGAATCATGGAGGTGGGGGGCAATGCTGAGAAAGGCAAGCGTGCCAGCGAAGCAGCTGAGAAGGCGAAATTTCTTCAAGTAAGGATGTGTGGGTTTGGGAAGGGGGCTCTACCTTGCGAAAAAATGGGGAGTGGGTCTCCACTGCAGATCCCAGGAGTTCAAGGGAAGGGAGGGAGGTTCAAGTGCATCTGTCCAGATAGCCCCATCCCAATTCTCAGGGTCCCACTTCTTCCCCATCAAGCCCCTGACTTGGGCCTTTGCTGGGAATCCAATCTTCTCTCAACTTCTGCCATTCTTACAATTAAGTCTTCCAGCTGCAGGAGATGAGGGTCGCTGTGAAAGCTGCCAGTTTTCTTTTTCACTCTCATACTTTGCTTTAACTTGTTGATGAATAGATCTGCCAGTCATTTTCTCTTCTTATTAAATTCCCCAGTCCTTAGAGTTACTACTTCCCACATACTTTAACTGCCTACCTCATTGTACCAGTTGATGAGCTCTTTCCACCTGTATCCCATCCCAGTGCTCCACAGGTTAATGTCTTAGTAATCACCGTGCCACGAGCTAGCAGCCCTCCACCCCCCCACCAGTGATGTGACCCTCCTTTCCAACCAGCCAGGCAGTAATGCAGAGAGTCCCATCCTCAGCTTTGCTTCCTAGGATCCAATGCAATACTGATCCTCTTAGGTTGGATTCTCTGGAAGGAGCTTGATGTGGGGTTTCTTGTTCAGGCTGTTTATTAGAAGAATGCTTTCTGGAGAAGAGGAGTAAAAGAAGCAGGGCTATCTCTGAAGCAGAGAGGAAAACCTCAGCAAGGGTGTGATATAAGCTAGAGACCAGCATTCCGTTATGGGAGATCAGGGGCTGAAATTGCACTGCAGAGTTGCCCCAGTGGACGCCCAGAAAGAGTAGGCAGCTCTCCATTGAGTTGTTATCAGCTGTTGAGTTGAATATCTAGGCCCAGGATAGAGCCATTCCTGCCTGGAGGGCCACATCAGCAAACAGAAACTTAGCTTATGTGTCCCTGTAAACACTCCGCTTGACCAGAGGGAATCTATCTGGTCAGCCAATCCCCAAACGCCAAGCCACCTCTGATCTCTACTTACTTCCTTCTTCTTTCTCACCCTACACAAGGTTGACTGGACAGCCTCAGCCAATCTGATGTTTTCTATTGTTCTCTCCGTTGTTCATTATTTTTTATCCTCTGAAAGCTTCCCAACTTCAGGCCCATTTTGCATTTCTTTGAATGGAGATGTCGGCTTCATGACGTGGTTGGTCTCATCTGGATGGTTTTCTCTGATCACCTTTTAATGCAGCAGCTAGGGGATGGGTGCTCCAGGTGGTAAAGAGAGTCAGGGCGCCAACATCATCATCATGATGATAGTGATGGATAATTCTATTGTAAAAGCAGTTTGTAGTTTTACCACTTAGAAAAAGTTTCCCTTTCACGGTCGTTGTGAAACAGGCTAGTTTTTGCCTCCTACTAAACACTATGTTTCCCTTAATGTTAAACTGTGTCTAAGTGGAAAAGCCTTTTAATTTGAAGGGGAAAAACAAGTGAATTTATTTGAGTATAGTGTTAATAAAAACATGTAATGATTTTCTCTTCTCATTCTCCACAGGCCTCCTGATACCTCCCCCACATCGCTCTCCTAAGCATGTCTGCCTGCTGGTTTCTGAGGTAAGAACACCTTTTCTTTTTTCTTGGTCAGCTGTAATCCAGGCAAAGTTTTCCAAGTTGGTGAATTAATCCACTGTCTCCTGTTTACAGCCAGCAGAAAAGGATACAGTATCACATTATATATTTACAAAAACACATGCTTCCATATGTGAACCAGAATAATAAACATCTTGTGCAGAAAAATCCGTTGTGTCTCAATCACTTCACGGAAGCACCTGAGACACTGATTTTCTGAAAGCTGCTGGGAAACTACCAGAGTGATCCACTGAGCTATAAATGAGGATCTGTTTATAATTTACAAGCACATGAGTCTCAGGCATGTTCTGAGAGGTTCAAGCTACTCTGGCCAGTCCTCACAGCAGAAGAGGAAAAAAAGGTACTTTTCTGAAGGTAACTCTCATTTTCCTCACACTTTCTGCATACGTGAAGGAATTGAGGGGAAATTTTGCATTTAGTGAAACCCATTTATACTTTTTTTTAATAAAAATATTGTAACAATTGTGGTAATCCTAGGGACAGGAAGTGCTCAATCTTTGTTCACGCCATCGATTTGAGTATTCGAAGTGAAACTTCTAAGGTCTGTGGATAGGAGTAGCGGGCTGAAGCATCTGGTTAAGAGGGAGACTTACACTGAAGTGTGTAAGTCTAAGACCACAAGTAGATACGACCTTTCAGGGAAAAAAATGCCAAAGAGGTAGATTGCTTCCCTTGCCAGGAGACAGAAGTTTTGAACAGCTCTCAGGGGAGCAATAACGGCCCAGCATGGGTCTGATTGATTTGCAAACGGATAGTCTACTAACTTGAAGAAAGTGTTCTAGAAATATTTGGAAGTTATGGTTTCTCTGTTGAACTGCCTTGAAAATTTAACAGTCCCCACAGGTGTGGTGTGATCTGTGAAAAATGTAGTGACTCATGAGCTTTTGGAAGTAGGTGATGAAGGGTGATGGTGACATGTTGAAAGGAATCAAAATTCTCTTTTTCTCATCAGGAATGGTAGCTTGGTTTAATGCATAATAGCTAATATTTATTGAGGACTCAGGCTGTGCCAAGCACTATCTAAGAACTTAAATGTATTTACTTAAGAGGGAGGTACTATTACTAACCACATTTGATAGATAAGGAAATTGAGGCAGGGGAATGTCAAGTAGCCTGTAGTTCCAAAGTTGATTAGTGATGGAGTAAAATTTAACCCTAGATAGTCTGACTCCAGAGCACATGCTCTTTACTGTTTGCTACACAGACTCCAAGGATATAACCATAATCAGGAGGAGGAATTTGTAAGCTCATATCATCCAAGTCACTCTGAAGCAAGACAGTATCCCAGCAAAACAGTTAAGTGAGGAATTGGAGTGTTTTCTGATGAATTCAGTCAGTCCTATTGGGCAACCCATCTATTTTGAAAAAGTCAGGTTGTTGATGGTGCTAAGTCCTCAGTGACTGTTTTTCAAGCCTATTTTCCTAAACTCCCCACTTCATTTTGTTGGTTGAGTTTGCACCAGCTATCAAGAACCAAAGCACAGTGATATAAGTGAAGTAGCCTGGATCTGACCTCGAGCATGCTTCCCTTTGCCAGTGTGGAGTTGTAGAAGGATTTTGGAGAGATGTGTGTAACTTTAGTTGGGAAAAAGTTGGAGTCAACATGACCCTCAGAGATTGTCCAGAGATGAGGATCACTGAAGGTCGGTGACTTGTACAAGATCATACGCAGTAGTTCAGAGAGAAGCTTCAAGGGAGCCTAGGATGTCTGCTTCCTAGAGCAGAGCTCGTTCCACAATGGTGCCCAGTGAATTGAAGAAGCAAACTGCCAGGCAACACTTGAGAAGTACCCTTGAAAAGGAACAGCTCTAGTGACGAGGTGTTCATTGACAGGCAGAATCCAATGGTGAAATTGTGCTGTTGGATGTCTCCTGGGTCATTTGGCCGGAAAGTCCTCTGGGGAAGAATATGTTTGGCTCAGGTTTATTCTTTGGTGCTGGACAACAGATGCTGGACAATGAGGTGGCTGGGGCTGGTTGGGATGGTGATAATGAGAAGTTGGCAACCAAAATGAGAATATAGCAGATTTATTGCTTGAAAATCTAACCCAAACCACAGTGTAAAACAGGGACAATCAATTGCCAAATGCCAGGGGCCTCAAGGGATTTGATATCTCGGGAAATTAGGCCAATTTCTTCTTCACTGACTGAGTCTTTGGAGTATAGCATGATACTGTAATCCTACTTTTGACAGTTGTGGAATAGTTCAGTTGTGACTGATTGAAAGTCACAGAAAAAATACCCTGTCTCTAGAAATTAATTTAAACCATCATAGCTACAAGGACTGCATGTTCATGTCTCATATTTCCAGGCACATAAATATTTATCGACTGAATAAATAAATGAGCGTCTGCTCCAGCCAGTACATTCCATCCCTGGCCAATTCTTACCTATTTTTATGCTGAATAAATTTTTTAAATTATGATCAAAACAATCCTTTTAAGTTACTTGACTAAACTTTAATTAAATAACTGCCAGTTAGTATCATTTGCATAATACTTTTTGGACTGCTTTGTATAATTTCTTTCAAGTCTTGACAAGCTTTTTAACAGTGAGAGAACACAATGGATGTCTTAAGGTTTACATGCATCTAATATCCTGTGAAACTAAATTTCTGCTTTTCTATTCTGCTCACCTTGTTAAATGGGGATAAAATTCTTGTCCCAACTTAATGGGAATATCGCAGAACCAGTGAGGAAATGCCCAGAGTGCTTCGATAATCTTACTTGTGTGTGCCTGGTAATTATATTAATTAAAATGTCTTTTGTGAGCAGCACATAAGTGGGTTTTTAGTGTTTGGAATAAGTTGATTTTCAACTTGACAGTGAAGTTAAACTCAGATTCATTTTGAAAAGTAAGTATTTTAGAGTAGAAAAAAATTGGCAATTTCCCCCACTTAAAAAAAAAATTGTGACTCCTTGGAGAAATGGTTGTGTCCGAGTCTGGGTCAGGAAAAGTACAGGTGAGCTTGGGGCTTCATATTGTGCCCAAAGGAGAGGAAGCTATCAAAGATTTCTGATGATGCCAAAGGGACATAGCAGCCATTCTGAAGGGTGTCTGCTGCCTAAGATGGGATGACTTGGGCAGCCAAAAAAGAATAATGACAACAATTGGTTGAAACATACAGAAAATACAAAAGTCCGCGAGTTCATAAAGAGAACAAAAAAAGAAACTTGTTTTTTTTAATCTATTTTATATGTAGTAGTTTGTATCTGTTCATTGCAAACTCCCAATTTATTCCTCCCCACAACCTTTCTCTTTTGGTAACCATCAGCTTGTTTTCTATGTCTGCAAGTCTGTTTCTGTTTTGTAAATAAGTTCATTTGTATAATTTTTTAGATTCCACATGTAAGTGATTTCATATATTTGTCTTTATCTGGCTGACTTACTTTAGTTATATGATAATCTCTAGGTCCATCCACGTTGCTGTAAGTGGCATTATTTCATTATTTTCTATGGCTGAGTAGTATTCCATTGTGTGTATAGACCATGTCTTCTTTATCCATTCATCTGTCAATGGACATTTACATTGCTTCCATGTCTTGACTATTGTAAATAATTCTGCTGTGAAAATTGATGTTCATGTGTCTTTCTGAATTAGAGTTTTAATCTTTTCTGGATACATGTCCAGGAGGAGGAGTGCTGGATCATATGGTAACTCTATTTTTAGTGTTTTAAGGAGCCTCCATGCTGTTCTCTATAGTGGCTGCACCAATTTACATTCCCACCAGCAATGTGGGAGGGTTTCCTTTTCTCTGCACCCTCTCCAGCATTTATTATTTGTGGACTTTTTTATGATGGTCATTGTGACTGATGTGAGGTGATACCTCATTGTAGTTTTGATTTGCATTTCTCTAATAATTAGCGACGTTGAGCATCTTTTCATGTGCCTATTGGCCATCTGGAGGTCTTATTTGGAGAAATGTCTGTTTAGGTTTTCTGCCCATTTTTTTTTTTTGATTGGGTGGTTGTTGTTGTTGTTGTTGTTGTTGTTGTTGTTTTAATTGAATTGTATGAGCTGTTTGTATATTTTGGAAATTAAGCCTTTGTTGGTTGCATTGTATGCAAATGTTTTCTCCTAGTCAGTAGGTTGTCTTTTAATTTTGTTTATGGTTTCCTTTGCTGAGCAAAATCTTGTAAGTTTGATTAGGTCCCATTTGTTTATTTTTGCTTTTATTTCTATCACCTTGGGAGGCTGACCTAATGAAACATTGCTGCAGTTTATGTCAAGAATGTTTTACCTATGCTCTCTTCTGTGAGTTTTGTGTTGTCATGTCTTATATTCAAGTCTCTAAGCCATTTTGAGTTTATTTTTGTGTATTGAGTGAGGGAGTGTTCTAACTTTGATTTATGTGCAGCTGTCCGGCTTTCCCAACATGACTTGCTGAAGAGACTGCCTTTTATCCATTGTATATTTTTGCCTCCTTTGTGGAAGATTAATTGACCGTAGGTCTGTGGATTTATTTTTGGGCTTTCGATTCTGTTTCATTGATCCATATGTCTGTTTTTGTACCAATACTATGCTGTTTTGGTTATTGTAGCTTTGTAGTATTGTCCAAGGTCTGTCTGGAAGGATTATGCCTCCAGCTTTGTTTTTTATCCTCAGAATTGCTTTGGCAATTTTAGGTCTTTTGTGGTTCCATATACATTTTTAGGATTATTTTCGTTCTGTGAAAAATATCCTGGGTAATTTGATAGAGACCACATTAAATCTCTAGATTGCTTTGGGTAGTATGGCCATTTAAACAATATTAATTCTTCCAATCCAAGAGCATGGGATAGCTTTCCATTTCTTTGAATCATCTTTAATTTCCTTTATTAATGTTTTATAGTTTTCAGTGTAAAAGTCTTTCACTCCCTTGGTCAGGTTTATTCCTAAATTTTTTTTTTATTGATACATTTTTAAAAGGGTTTTTTTCTTTTAACTTTTTCTTTCTAATATTTCATTGCTAGTGTAAAGAAATGCAACAGATTTCTGTGTGTTAATCTTGCATTGTGCTACCTTGCTGAATTCGTTTATCAGCTCTAGTAGTTTTTGTGTGGAGTCTTCAGGGTTTTCTCTATATAGTATATCAGCTGCCTATAATGACAATTTTATCTCTTCCTTTCCAATTTGGATAATTTTATTTCTTTTTCTAGTCTGATTGCTCTGACTGGGACTTTCAATACTATGCTGAATGGAAATGGTGATGGTGGGCGTCCTCGCTTTGTTCCTAATTTTAACAGGAAGGCTTTCAGCCTTTCAATGTTGAATATTATGTTGGCTCTATACTACTGTTTTGGTAAGAATTTTTTTTTATCATCAATGGAAGTTGAATTTTAAGGAGAGATTCTTTAAGCTAAAAAATTTTGGTTAACAAATGTGTAAACAATAACAGAATTATACAATCTCATTTTTAAAATCCCCTGATGAAATAAATGACTCAGGCAACTATTATCAGAGTGGATGCCAAAAGGATTAAGTGACAGGTTTATAGGGAACTGGATATTTGAAAGATGTCAAAGCACTAGCCTACAGTATAAGGGGGAAAGTCAACATTATAATGAGCGGATTGCCATATGAGCTACCTGGTCAATCTTAGCCTTCCTAAAAGTGGGACACGCAGGCAGGCACTGTGTGCTTTCTTTGAGAAGCAATATGAAATACACAGTAGCACCTAAAATGTTCTTGCCAAAAATTTTAGCTTGAATCTAATCAGGCTTTAAGATCAAACTTCTTTATAGGCAATACCAGGAGCAGAGGAATACGTTAAATGATACCACAAGTTAACAATCAGAAAAATCTAGAATGTGGGACATTTCACATTACTATTGACTCTGTTTCTTTGATAAATCACTAGGCATGGGAAGAAAAAAACAAGGAGGAGCTCTCTGTAAAAAGACATTTTGGAAATAGCCAGGGAAAGCTGAAAAAATGGTCAGGATATTAGATGGTAATAAGAAATTATTGGTAATTTTACTAGGTATCACAGTATTAATACTGTGGTTATGTAAGAAAATACCTTTTTTTTTTAAAGCAGTGCTTCTTGAAATATTTAAGAATAAAATGTCATAATGCCTGAGATTTGCTTTAAAACAAAAAAGGTGAATTTGGCAGACTGTTAATAAATATTAAAAATCTAAATGCTGAGAATATGGGAGTTCATTATACTATTCTCTCTACTTTTATGTATGTTTAAAAGTTCTCATAATAAAAAGTTTAATGGGCAGTTAGGTGCAATAAAATTCCTTATGAATTAAGCTCTGAGGAGCAGTCCAAAATATAGGAAAAAACCCTGCAAATTGTTTAATACACACACATATGTATATGTCATTGTGGGACATTTTGATAATTAAGATTAATTTTGATAATTAAGAACTAAAATAGCTTTTCAGATGCAATAAGGATTTTTCTTGATAAACAACCTTTATGTAACAAAAAGAAAAAAAGGAGATGTAAACAGGCTCTAGCATCCTATTTGTTAGGGACACTGACTTTATTCTAGTTTCAGAGCTGGACACTGGATAAATATACCAACTAGAACTGCAATTTAGAAGAAAACAGGCTGCTATAATAAACTACAGTTACTGTAACATAACTGCAGAGTAATACAGAAGTGCGAAGTACACAAAATTCTAGATAAGGAGAGCCCTTCTTAGTGGCATTAAACCTAGATTAAATGAGATTTATGTAATTCCCATAGTAAAAGCAAAATCCATAGTCTAAAACCTCAAAATGCATTTACTCTAGTTCGAATAGACGCACAAGCACATGTGCTTCCTCAGCACAGGGACAGTTTTATTCACATGACCTCATGACAGACATTTTCAAATTGAAGTTTTATTTGTGAATTGAAAGGTCAAGGGACAAAACAGGTCTACATTTAATGATGCTCCTAGTGATCAATATTTCATTCAGTACTTTTGAATGACAAGTGCATATTTAATTAGCTTAGAATTTTATATATAAGCTCCAGAGCACTTTTGAATATAAAAATCCTCTGGGAGTCGTCTGTTTCTGGAGTCAAGTTTCTTTTACTAGGAAGCCTCATAAAAACACACATATGTGTTTGTTCTTGTCAGGCTTACCTGTCAGAACCATGGTATAGAAAAGCTATTCTGTTTGAAAGTCAGATGCTTGTCAGTGAGGGTCCTGTCAGGATCTTTTTTTTTTTTTTTTTTTTTCCTTTTCAGTCCTGGCCATGGTTCCTTATCTACCAACCTTGAGTTGCATTCATGCTGCTGGGAGTTCCTACTTACTGGTCCCTGGGGTTTCTGACCCCCCAGCCTCACCTCACTGGTGCTCTAGCAACAGGCTTCCAGCCTGCCTGTCCATCCCACCTTTTCCTGCCTGCCAGCCTGGCAGCTATGGATCAACCCTGGCCTGAAGCATCCCAGAGAACTTCTCCTCCATCTAATCACTGGAATCACTCCTTGTCCAATGAAGCCTGCAGCCCAGCCCAGAAGGGAAACCTCCTTTCCAAGTTTGTTCCCTCTTTGGGTACATTCACTTCAGCCCTAGGGTATTCCTTAGAGTTTTCTTTACCCTTGTGTAAGTTAATCTCTCATTGCTTGGAAATAATTCTCCATGTTAAAACTGAGCCTA